CATGCTATTTTCATATTTCATACAAAAAAATCCTCCCGTAGATGGGCTCAGATAGCGAAACATTTACCTGGAAGAACAGATAATGAAGTGAAGAACTTTTGGAATTCAAGCATCAAGAAGAAGTTGATTTCTTCTCATGATAATGTTCCGGCGTTGGCCACCTTTGCTGACCTTCACAACACTACTCTGCCGGGGGAAGGTTTCTTCGCCCTAAACGGAAACCAGAATTTGATCCTCACTGCTCAGCAGGACCACCTCTACCATTCCTCGCCAACTCCAATTGTACAGAGCTTTTCAAATCTAGATTTCAAGCCAAACCATCAGACAAATCCTATCGATTTCATTAATCATTTGCCAACTCCGGTGATCCCACAGCCAAATCCATGTTCTTATGATCCCACGTGGTTGCTGCCCTACGATCATCCTCAAAACCTTCACCAGAACCAAGAGGATCAGACTTTTAGCAACGAAATAGTGACAAATTTCATTGGAGATCATAAGTTTATCAACCCAACTGTTGCCATTTCAACACCTTATGATAGTCCACTAATGGCGGCTTCCTTGCCTAAACTCTGTGAGATACTGGAAGGAAATGTCTGCAGCCTTTCACCGGCACCAGCATCATCAGTTTCACTAGAAGTGGATCCGGCCACCACCGGACTCTCCTGCTTTCCATCTCTGAATTTTCCACAAAGTCATCACCAAATGGAGTATATTGATCCCAACATTGTGTCACAGCCATCTTCATCTTCCACATTATCCGCATTACCAGGCAGGTCATTCCTGACAAACCCTAATCTTCCTTCTAGCAGCTGGGATCCATAGACTTGTGGGTGTATCAGAAATCTTGCACTGGTCGACTTTTTGCTAGGTACTACTATCAATTATCAATGCATTTATTTCTTGAAATATATATAAATTTATATGCGTAAAGGAAAAACTGAGAGTGCCACCCTTTTGGAGAAATTGAGGAAATCTAAATGTTTCTAGTTCAGGTTATATTTTCAGGAAATAATGTTGCTATGCGTTATATTACTTCCAATATAAATAAGTTTTGGTTCTTCAGAACTTGATGATGATAATGTGTTTATGGATAACTTATTTCTCTAGTAATGAAATACTCTTTCTCTAGTAATGAAAATACTCTTTCTCTCTATATATTTTTATGTATATTATTTCAAAATGATCGTCTGCGACTGATGATCTTATTACTTGCCCAAAAAAGGGTATTCAACATTTCAACTCTTTCTCCTTCCCCTCCTTTCTTCTAGGTGGGGACATTATAAAATTTAATGGCAGATTCATAGTCTCCATGAAGGTTTAGTACGTACAAGTTTTAAGACAGCTCTTGGGAAATAACATTTTACTTGAAACACATACATATTGAGTCTTGTTGATGTGATGATCTCAGCTTTTTTTTTTTTTTTAGTATATATGATAATAGATTATATAAGAGATTATAGTTTTCTCATTTTCTCAAATATTTCGTCACTTAACTCAATATTTGAATTTATGATTTTTAACTTAAAATCTCAAGTTCTTAACTAATTAAACCATACCCTTAAGGCTATTTATCAGCTTAATGTATCTCATTCACTAATTGAAAAAATAATAATTTTGTTTCAATAATGGCAGCTTAATGTTGGGAAATAATAGTTTGTTTTGGCTTCATTAAAGTGAAAACTACCCTGTGATGAGAACAAAACAGATATTTCATGGCCCTCTGGATTTCATGTTAGAATTGATATATCTATTATTGTCGGTATGTGGTGATGATACAGTAGGAGATGACACACGGTTATTTTTATCTAATCAGGAAAGCAAAATTTTAAAATTATATATGCACTTCCTAATGTCTTTGATTGATCTTGGATGATAGTACTGGAATTTATACATTATCTAGTGTTGACTTATAATAAGCTGACAATAGTGTATGTTTGCTTTCTGGGCTACATCGTTGCTCAATTATTAAACTTGTTGAGTGTTATTGAAGGCAAATGAGTAAAGGATAAAAAGGGCGTTGATGAGTAATTCGGAATGACCTGCTTGGACATATATCAAAATGAGGGCACAGAAAAAGGACAAATCAAAATCGTTTAAAGGCTTTCATGATTGGGGTAAAGCCAGCTGCATTGGGTTCTTCCTTTTGACTGTCCTAGCTCTTCTAAATGGTGGCTCAGTCATCTTCTGTACTGGACCACCTGCTTGACCTCAGCAGAGTACCAGACCTATACTTGTTTAGGAAAATACCATCTCCTGGGTAGTATCACCTAACCCCTTGAAACCATTGCAGAAGCAGATATCTAGCATTAATATACACAAGTGGGACATATGATAATACAAGAGATTTCAATGGAATAATTTGAAAAAAGGATTTACGACATTATTAGTTGCAAGGAGGATCGGGACAAAAGTCAGAATAAAATAAAATATCATGTCAATATATATATATATATATATATATCAAGATATCATTTCCTCTTTAAACCATTCAAATGAGACAAAAATAAAATGCTAATACCTGAAGACTGCATGCGTATCCCAATACGTGATATGAGAACGAAATACTTACTGATTACACAAATTTGAAGCTAGAAGTAATAATATCATAAAGCAACAAACAAGAGAAGTGGTAGGTAGATACATCTACTGAGAGAATACATACTTTATAATAGAATCTTAATACTACATCGATCAGACCTACATGTTCTGCTGAATCAAACTGCATGCACCTACATTTCTTGGATTATTCAAATGTCAAATAGTTTTTGAGAAACATTTTGAGCAAAAAATAAATTCTTCCAAGCATACGTATCAGAGAGGATAATCTATAAAAGAACACCTGAAAAAGAAATAACATCCTTCTTGAATCATATTCCTTCTAGGTGTCACAAAGATCGCCAGAGCCAATATAAAAGAACAATGGGGCTCTACATTTGCTTAGTTGTACCATACTTCAGGTAGCATCAGACATGATTTCAATCCAAACATAGAAACAAAGACACTAAGCTGTTATTCTAGCACGACCCTTTGCTATTCTTCGAGCAACAACTTTTTGACCACCTTTGGTTGCTTTGCTGCTCATGCATGAAAGTTTGTTAATCATACAAGTCTAGATACCACTAAGAGTTCATAGAGAAAAAATGAGATCAGACATTTTAAATGAAAAGGCCTAAAAGGAGTCTTCTTCCAACATGCAGCTATGAAGAATGAAGAATAGATCATTATAAACAAAGTCCATAAAACATCTGTACCGTAATTTTTATTTTTCAACAAACCAATCTTAGACTTCTTGATAAACAAACTACATAAACGGTTAAAACCCCATTTTGGTCCCTCTACTTTAACAAAAAGCTCCTTTTTGGTCCTTCTACTTAAGAAAGTCCTTTTTAGTCCCTAAAATTTATCATTCAGCTCCTTTTTAGTTCCTCTGTTATCTTTTTGCATAAGTAGTATGTTAGATAATGGAAATTTCAAAGTAAAGGGACCAAAAAATAACTTTTTTTAAAGTAAAGGGGCCAAAAAGTGACTTTTTTAGTTCCTTTTTAGTCCCTCTACTTTGAAATTTCCATCATCTAACATGCCAAGTGTGCAAAAAATAATGGAGGGACTAAAAAGGAGCCAGATAATAAACTTTAGGGACTAGAAAGGAATTTTCTTAAGCAAAGGGACTAAAAGGGGGCTTTTTGTTAAAGTTAAAGTAGAGGGACAAAATGGGCTTTTAACCTACATAAATTTCGCAGCAAAGGAATTTGCCTAATGACGCATGACACTTGATAAACTACTCTGTTTTTTATACATAAATCACTAAGTGAGAGAGAGAGAGACATACCGAGCAAAAAACCCATGTGTCCTCTTGCGCCTGATGTGGCTAGGTTGATATGTCCTTTTGGGAAATAATAGCATTGGCTGATCTGATGAATCACCTGCAAATACATACCATTTATGAAGAAATCAATAGAAGAAACATGCTCTATAACCCAAAAAACAAAAGAGAAGAAGAAAAAAACATACTTATTACTCAATTATCATGCAGACTGACTCAAAAGTTCTACTAAACACTTAAAATCCTTCACTCAACAATTAATAGGTTAATAGGTTGCTCATTGCTAACCCATTTTTTTCAGCATATGCTACATACACATGAATTACAGTGTCCAGATTCTCCAGAAAACAGAATCCAGAAAGCATCATAGATAGATTCCCTCCTACACAGTGCTAAGCAGACTTGGATAACGGTGAACCACTCTTAGACATTGATCAGAGGTGTGGTATGGCTAGACTTCCAACTGACATCCCAGGTTAAAATCATCAAAATGCAAGTTCAGACACAATCACATATTAAAAGAACAAGAACTTCAAAGCAAAGCTACTGCATATCAGCCCATACCATTGAAGTTTCAAATCAAAAAAGGAGACCAACTACCCATTAAGAGTATTGACTGCTCAAATCAACCTTGATCTGGTTGCAAATAATATCCTTTCATAAGATACTAGATAGGAAAAAAATGAGAGTTTCCACACCACAAGCATCTAAATTTATTCAATGAAAAAAACAAAAGAGAAAAAATAATAATAATAATCATGGGAGTTTCCCGACCACAAGCATTTTTTTTTTCCTGATATAGACCACAAGCATCTTAATTTATCTATATTAACACACAAAAAGCACAATTATATTGAGCGTAAAATGCATCACAAGTTGATAACCAAGAAGTGTTGTTATGGACCCAGAGAGAGCTTACTCTAATTCAAGTTACCTCCTTTGAATATTAGTAACATTATAACATGAGACAAAAGAATTGGGTTATTGTTTCTAGAGAGGTCATCAAGCATGTTCTTGGTGTCAAAAAATGTTCTCATATTTTCACCTTTTCTTAAGGGAAAAACTATGCTAACTCTTAGAATTTCTCAATGAAAAAAACCAGACACTAAAGCTATATACTCAGCTTCTCAAGAACATTTAAATACAAACTAGGAGTATCTCCTATTTGATCCATTGCAAAGCACGGCATTACTCTATCAAACAGAGACTCGTTCACTGAAATAAACTTCAAACTTTTGATGTAAAGCAAGCAGCAAATAGAGGATAAACTCAATGCAAGTAGACATGTCAAACTATACAGAAACAGAGTGAGTACCGTCAGGCAAGAAGAAGCGAACAGAAGGCAGGCCGGTGGGGTGAAGAAATCCTAGAGAAGAGACTTTAGAGATGGATTCAGAGTCTTCTTGGGGGAAATGGAGGGACGTCTGTGACTGCGGCTTTGAGAGAGATGGGAATAGCTGTGGAGTGATTCGGAGACCCTCCGACGCAATTCGGTGGTTGGACAAGGTGCTTGTGTTGAGAAGAGGATTGGATGTCAATCGAGAAAACAGCGAAGCTCCGCTTCTTGCTAGGGTTTTGATCGCCATTGATGAAGTTGAAGGATGGAAAAATCAGTTGATTTCTGCTAAAACCTCGAGCAGAGAAAACAGAAAGATGAGTGGGTTGGAAGTTGATGGGTCAGGTCCAATACGACCCAAGTAAGGCCGTGCAAAAGGTGGGTTAATCAAATGATTAATTGAAAATTGATAAAAAATAATAATAATAATTAAATGGTTAAATATAAATAATAATTATTTTTGTAAAGTTTGATTAGATAACTAAAAAATTTTGATCATTTAATAATTAGAGGGTTGAAACACTGAAATTAAATATATAATTGAAAAAATAAAATTTTATATTTATAAACAAATAATAGTTATTTAAATATTATAAATAAGTATAAAAATAACCTTATTTAATTTTCTCTTTAAGTTTTATTTTATAAATTTTATTTTAATTTAATATTTAAATTTAAAATATATTTAAAATTAAAAAATAAAATTTAAAATTCATATTCTCCTTTCATTTATCTATCTTTTTTTATATTTTATTATATTTATATTCTTTAAAAATTTCAAGTTTTAGTTAAATATAGTTATTGTTAAATTTAAAATAAATATTCATTATTAATTTGATTATAACTAATAACTGAGATATTAAAACCAATTATTTCAATTATTAAACCAAAAATTCTAAAACATTTTTGTTTGGTTTCCGTTACTATAAAATGAAAAATAAAATAAATAGTTCAAATATTAATTTTAATTAGATTAAAACGAACCGTACCTAGCACTAAACTCAAGTATCAACGACCCGGTACATAAGGAATTTGAACCCAAAATTTGAAAAATAAAAATAAAACTTGATAGTAATCAATCAATCAATTAATCATTCATAATTTTTATACAATAATTTTTAAGAAGTCATATTCTTTTCTCTTTTTTCTTAATTACATAAATATATTGCACTACTGGAAATTATTATTATTATTATTTAGGTTTAATGTCATTAAATATTCTTTAACTTTACAAAAAAAAAAGTCATTATCATTTTTCTACTCTAAAACAAGTCATAAACATCCCTAAACTTTTGAGAAACGGCCAAGCATCATCCCTTGGCATAACTCCGTCCACACACCCATTAAAATTTCCCAAATTTTAATGGTAAAATAGCATAGCTAGTTCCATAACTTTCATTTGTGCACTTTGATCCTTAAACTTTAAATGTATTCAATTTCGTCCCTAATTTTAACCTTTTTTTTGTTAGAATTTAGTACCTAAAATTTTGAAAGAGATGCACTTAAATCTCAAAATTTTCATTAAGTTCTTTTTTTGCATAAATAATAAAAAATTATATAACTTTCAATAAAACACATTCAAACATTTGACTCATTCAAATATCAATAAAATTAAATTTGAAATAGTAAACTAAAATATATAAAGAGAACTCTGTTTTATAGTCTAGGCAATACCAAATTATAAAATAAGGACCAATAATAGTAGGGACTATTCCTTATCCAATAATTAGTATTGTGTAATTTGATATAACTTAAAATGTATAATACTTTTTTCATATATAAAACTCATATTATTAAAGTGTAAAATTAAATTTTTTATATCCACTTGTCCCAAAAATGTTTTTGATACCCAATTTGATTCTTGTGAAATACCATAACCAAAGCGATGAAACTATAAATGATGTAGATATGACTTATGACTTATAACTTTGGGTAATATTTCTATGGTTATGTATGTATTACAAGAAATAGAAGATAAGCATCTATTGTTTATCCCCCCTTTTTTTTTATCATAATGTTGTTACTTTTTTTATGTGAATTATGTATATATAACTTGCTAAATGTCCTTTGTTTTTAAGGATCTCAAATTGAGTATTAAAAATATGATTTTTCACTTTGAATATATGAATTTTATATATTTTAGTTTACTAAACCTTAATCTTATTAATATTTTGGATAAGTTAAAAATGATTTTATTAGATTTTATATAATTTTTATTATTTGAGCAAAAAAGAATGGAATGCATGAAATTAGAAATTTTGAGACTTAAGTGAAATTCTTTGAAAAGTTTAAGATTAAATTGCAATAAGAAAAATTAAAATAAGGGATTAAATTAAATAAATATGAAGTTTAATATCAAAGTCCATAAGAAGTAAGAGTTGAGGGACCAACAATGTTATTTTATCATTAAACTTCGAAGTATTTTAACGGATACATTGACGTGTTATAATGTTACCATGCTAGTCAACAGAGGGATAATGCTTTACTCTTTCTCTAAAGTTCAAGGATATTTGTGATTTGTTTTAAAGTTGAAGGATGATAATGACTGCTTTCATAAAGTAAAAGGATTTTTAGTCATATTAATCCTAATTTTTCAGATAAAAGATTCAGTTCACTCCATGTAAGATATTGGAATCTTACATAATAATGGTTTTAAATCACAAATTCAACTGCTTGTATAATATTGACGGTGATATGTTTGGAATATATGAGCATCATCTTTTTAGGTGACTCATGATTTTGTCAAGAAATGATTATGTAAAACAATCCCTCGTATAATTCCTTGTAAATAGACAATCTGTAAGTTTCATGTAAACACTGCGAAGACTAACAACATGTGCCAACATAAGACTAGTAATCTCCCCTCACCCCAAAATGGTCAAGAACCAAAGATTAAAAAGTAAAGGACATCTAATAAACAAAGAGAGACCATTACATACAAAACAAAGAGAGACCATTACATACAAATCCAAACAAAAAGGATATGTAAAAGGAAGAAGAATACATGTTGAGGAAGGCACAGGGTCATATAATTCAGACCTGGCCATTTCCAATTATATTTGTATCAACACCTAGACACCCCAACTTAACAGAGTTGGAAACCCTTTAAAAAATCAACAGGGAAAACGCAAAACAAGGAAAAAAAAAATATGTAACAGATCAATTAATGATAATATTATCGCTCCTTCAGCTGTATTCAAAGTCACTGATTTCAATCTATGTTGATCTGGAGGTCTTATTGCTCCCCAGAAAGTGCTCCAGCAATCCAATCTGATGCAGCCGCTTGGATGTCAGATTCCGTATCAGGAGAAAGTGACAGGGGAGTTACAGCAATCTATCATCCCAAATTTAAAAGAAAAAAAAAGAAGTAAGAAAACTGAAGTACCAAGATGGCTGGTATTCAAATAAGAGAAAGGAGATGGGGAGGAGATGAATGATGGAGCAGTAGCATGATTTGAGATAAAAATTCTGGTAATTTTAGTATTCAGAAAGTCATTTGTATGGTTCAACTAAAACTAAAGGTGCATGCTCATATAGGATTCATAATAAAAATTAGAGTGAATCAATCCAAATCTTCATGATTAGATGACACCAACTGCTAGGGTAAAAACAATTTGTACATATGAGCTTTAACTTACAAATCCATTTTCCAGGGCCCTGAAATCCAGATCTTCATCTGTATCTGTCTGTTCCTTATCTAAAAACTGCAAATTGATACAACAGTATTACTGTTAGGTTTTGATTTCATGGTAAAATAAAAACAACATTTGTTGAGAGATGAAAAGGATAGTTAAAAAAATGAGAAAAATCTTTTAAATATCACAAAAGAAAACAATACATAGAGAAACACTTTTTATACAATTATACTACAGGCACTATGCCTGTCACAAAAGCTTAAAAAATGCGTAAGTGACTTATGGGAGACAATTTGGATTTCTCTCTTAAGCAATTATAGACTTTCAGGATTGCTTAAATCCGAAACCTTTCTTACCTCCAGTCGAAAATACTTTTTCACCTGGTTGTTATCAGATTTTCCAGCAGCCCCAACTGTTTCTATCTCCACAACACTTTTCTTCTGCGTAGACAATCGGCGAGCAGCACCCTGATGAAAACATTAAAAAAATAATAATAAAACAATAAATGGGATACTGACACACACTTTTAGGATTATCCCATTTAATCTATAGTATAAAGAAAAACATCCATAAAGTGGAGGAAGGAGGGGCGAGAGAAAGAAGTGGAAGACAGTCAAATCCCCATAAATAAAAAGCAACTCACAGCAGCAGATGCATCTCGGCTAAGCTGTGCAAGCTGGATGCCAAGACTTTGTTGATTAGACATGAAATGTCCAGCAGAAGGATGCCGATTAGCTGAAACAGCTTGCCAGTTCAAAGTAGATCTCCACATACTTTGCTTGGTTAATTTAAAACCCTGTCACACATTATAAACAAGTTGGAATATATGAAGGATCATGCCATACAGTGTCACATAAGCAAATACATGAGTGATCTTTATGATTTTATCTATATCACAGGTAATTTGAGCACTTAATCAGAAAGGTGGAGCAGCATAATCATCTCCACATAAAGATGGCAAGCATGCAGTAACAACATATCTAGGTGTTACGTTCGCATGCGTGTGCCCACTCCTAAATGCAACCACACAAGCTCAAAGTATAAGCAAAATTAATCATTGAAGTGGACATTTAAAAAACCATGAACAACATTATAAATCATCCACCATGCAATCCGATTTCAGTGCATCAATGGATATTAAAAACATTACTATAAATAGTTAATCCTTAATAGCAGAATACAAACCTTGTTTGTTGAAGGAAATGTAGGAATTTCTATATGCAGAGAGCAACTTTTCGGGAAAACTCCCTTTTCTATATCTCTTATTGCTGCATTTATTAAAGGCAAACAAACAGCAACTGCATCTATAAAATCATTTTCTTTGCTTTCTTCCTTTTTCCTGTAATTGTATCCAACATTGAAAAGGAAGAATTGGATGTGAAAAAACATGAGAACTAAAATTAAAGCCCACATGATAAAGAAAAGCTGACTTACCAGTTCAGAGATATAGACAAAGATGGTACACCAGAAATTAATGCCTCCCTTGCTCCAGCAACAACACCTGAGTAAAACCTGGTGGATTCACAGGTTATGGTATAAATCAGCATTCTTATGTGAGGTAGAAAAAATTCATTAAAAGCAAACAAGAATAAGACATGTCACTAAGCAACAGCTTTAAACCATATCACTTAGAGATACAAATTCAAAAAGGCACCTTTATATTTACTGAAATAAAACATGACTAATTATGAAAATTGACAAAACATATCCAAATAAACCTACATGTGATGTCCACAGCTTGATCCCCGATTAATTCCACTAATTACCTGTAAATTACATCAATATAAATTCAGTATATACTAAACACCAGAATTTACAAGTAATCCCTTGATAACAGGATTGAGACCTAACCAGCACAGGCTTTGCCAATGAGGACAGTGCCCCAGATAATGCTAATGAGACACAATCCACAGGAGTACCTAAGTGACAAGAACCAGCAGAAGCCGGTTACTATGGACAACCATAGATCAAAACTTACAGACATATATTGAAATCAGTGTCAAGAATATAATCTAAATTAGAAAATGGGAGATTTATCGTGTCAAGAATAATGACAATCCAACGCAACAGTTACACAGAAAACACTAAGTACTGTCTATTTAAAAAATCTACAACCATGAATCAGAATCTAATACACATTATGCTTTGATAGCTGACTTAGGGAGAAAGAACGTAGAGCAATAACATGTGAGGCAAGTAAGAGTAAAACAAATTGAAAATCTTATAATACCTGAAACTTCAAAAGCTGTAGCGCCACTAATTTCTGCTGAAGTCACAGTAATTGTTTCTTGATGTGTCACAGAATGACCAGAAACAGATTTATCCCTAAAGCAATCCATTCAGAAACTAAAAAATCACAAAATATTTCCAAGTTCAATGCCAGCACTAGATAAGAAAGATGCATGCGTACACATGGAAAAATACTAAGGAAGATTTAAAATTAACAGAAACAATCAGGATAATTGAAAATGAAGCCAAAATAGATAGAACCAACATATTCAAAAAAGGAAATTTCCACGCTATAAACCCGGAAGTCGGGGAGGAGGAAGTTACAGGCGAAACCGAGTATGCAATGAGGAACCAGGGGGAATTTTGAACAAGTAAACAGAATTCAGAAACAGAAATCGAAGAAGAAAAAGAAAACCCACGATTGAGGAGCGCAAACATGGACATTATAGAGGGCTTCACGGACCAAGGCTTCAACGAGATGCACAAGGCCAGGGGAGTCAATCCCATCACCATTGGTGACCAAAACAACAGGCTTGGAGCTGTCGATTTCCTGGGCAGCATTCTCGTCGGATTCTCCATTGGAGTTGTCCCCTTCACCTTGCACAGTATTCCTTTTTTTACTCTGAAGAACTTCCTGAAGGTTATTGACGAGGCCCGGCGGCAATAAGTTGTTCTTGACAGAAGACGTCATTTTGCCGGTGAATGGCAGAATCTGAACCCTAGAGATAAAGAAGAAAGGAGAGAAAAAGTAGAATGTAATAAATGAAAGAAAAAGGGGATTGATTAGGATGACAGTAGATAAAAGGAGCGGGTCTACCGGGGGATTATTCAGCGACAGGAGGATTTTGAGAAAAAGGAAGAAAGGGAGGGATTTGGTTAGAAAAAGGTGATTAATTAAGGAAGAAAGAAGAAACACTGAAACAGATTTTTTTTTTGGAATAATCAATTATTCATTATTGGATTTGGCCCTAAATTAGGCAGCTTAGGGGTAATCCATGCAGGTGAGCTTAGGAAAATAATAATGAGGGTAGGTTTGCTATTATTGTTTAATTTAATCTTGATTGAATAATAAAAATATCATTTTTTTATTTTTTAATTTACAATATTTACATGAAGTGGTTTAAATTTACCAATCATCCCCAAAGATTTAAATTTAAGCCATTAAATTAATTAAAATTTAATATAACTTTGAGATATTAAGAATAGACAAAAAAAAAGTAATTTAAATTTAAGATTTTTTATTTTTTAAAAATATTATTAAATTACTTAACTCATTTACAAATTATATTTATTTTTAAGTGTAAATAATTATGTAATAAAGGAGTATGAGTAATACAAAAGTTACATTGAGCCGCTCTACAACAATTAGTTTTGGGAGTTTGAGTGAAACAAATGTCTTAGTTGAGGCCGTCAATTCTAAAACAATTTTTTCTTTTGGAAAAATCCTCCTTTTTTTTCTAGCAGATTGCTTTTTTTAATCTGAAAAATGAATCTTACAGTATCTCAGCTTTCAGAATCCTAAGCAGGTATTTATTACTCTCCCTTGCCTAAAGGTAAACTTTAACCCAACCGAAATTTTGGATGCAAGTAGTTCTTCTCCCAATTTTAAGGCATTTTGGTTAATTGACTGAGATTTCAAGTTTCATTAACATATTGAAAAATCCTCTTTTTTCTATCCCCAAATTGTAAACTGTTAAAAGAAAAAAACCTAACTCTAACATGCAGAAAGAAGTACTTTGTTTAAGACAGATAAACTAGGTTAAAAACCATAAAGAGAGTTAACTACTTACCTTGGTTGTATAATTTAAAATAATATATATA